AAAGGGACACAGGGCCAATGTTTTCCAAGAGATATGGACTCTGTGGATCCTGTGGCTTTTAAGGCAGCCTGAACTATGGGGGATGCTATGGGGAACTTTACACCAAGGTGCCATTGGGCTCCTTGCAGCATCGACCTACTGGCCCCCACAGAGGCCACTAAGAACAAGTCAGTCCTTCAACTGTTGGAGTCCCTAGCAACTTGTCTCCAGGCATCCTCTTCTTCCGGTCAGAAGAACCGGGTTCTTTCAGCATTCCTCATGTGATACTATTACCTCTGACATTCTGCTGAGCATATTCTGAAAATGCTGAGCTCAAAAGAAGTTCAGAATACAGATTCTGGAGCTCCATCTATTTCTCTACTCCTAGCCTTGCTGCATCTCATTATCTGTAAAAAGGGAAAAATAATAGGTAATATAGCATTATTATGAGACCTAATTAATTAATAATGAATATTAGGTGCCTGACACAATGCCTAGCACATAATAAACACCTGATACTTGCTCAGTAGTGATTATCTTTGTGGAAGACCAAAATATTGAGAACTGAGGCTCCAGGATGGAAATCAACTCGTATGATTCACTGTTGCATATTCTGGGTCCACAAGTTCTTTGTGATCGATTCCTTGGCTCTAAGGGGAGGGGGCCCCTGGGTGGAAAAAGCAGCATAGCAACAAAGCAGCAGTAATTCAATTGACTTCCCTCAGCCACGATTTATTCAGCTCCCATGGGTCAGTTGCTAAGCTAGGTCTCAAGAGCATGAGGATGAGTCAGGTACAGCTGCCCTGCCCTCTAGGGATTGATGTGATCCTGTAGGAGTACTGCCACACGTGCGGTATAGGAGGGTAAGGGGTGCCAAATCAGACTCAAGGTACAGTCTTCTCTGACTTATTTTTCCAGTTTCTCTAAAAACGATTTTCTTAAACATGGAAGCTAATTTTGCCTTGGTGAGAGAGTAGAAATCACAAAAGTGACATAGGACTGGGTGTTAAATGAACAAACAAGAATATATCAGGAGAATTGGAGGCTGAAAGATATTATACCAGTTATCTCCAGATGGTACCATCAATTCCTACCCTCTTTAGACAAGCAAGCAAATTCCACATTGAGAGGTGGAGTCTGTTTCTCCATGCCTTTGGATCTGGGCTGATCTGTGACTGCTTTGACCAAAAGAATATGGCAGAAATGATGCTGAGAGAATTCTATGGTGGGTCTCTTAGGATGCCCAGTTGGTGGGAAGTTGGCTGCCATGTAAGTCCAACTTCCCTTAAGCTGCTTTTTGGTGAGGAAGCCCACAGAGGGAGAAAGGTCCTGCAGAGAAAGGAAGAGTGATGTCTCACCAGCTCCCAACGATTCCAGCCATCCTAGCCCAGGAGCTAGGCAGGAGAAAAACAGTCACCAACTCAGCTGGGCACAGATGGCACAGGCTTGTAATCCCAGTGATTCAGGAGGCTGAGGCGGGAGGACTGCAAGTTCAAACCTCAGCAACTCAGCAAGACCCCCATCTCAAAATAAAAGTGTAAAGAGGGCTGAGGCTAAATATCAGTGATAAAGTGTGACTGGGTTCAGTCTCCAGTACTGCTAAATAAATAAACACACATAAATAAAAGTCACTAGCTGTCATCCAACTTCAAGTACAGGAAGGGCCCCAAGTGAGGAGCACTCAGTTGAATCTGCATCAATATTAAATTATGGGGGTAAACCACCAAGTTTCGGGGGGCGGGGGTTGTTATCATCCAATAGATAGCCAGGACAGATATTCTAAATAGACACCAGAATGTGCAAAGACATGAGACATGGAATTGCATTGTGTGCCAGGGCTCTGTAAATGCAGCTCACATGGCCAAAACCTAAAGTGTGGAAGAGAAGAACAAGGAGCAGAAAAAAAAATTGGAAAGGGAAGCAAGCGCCAGGTCATGGAGGAACCTACATACATGCCAATAAGTTTTGATCTTATTCTCTAGGTAACAGGAGTCAATAAGGGTTTTAAACAAGGGAGTGGGGGGCTGGACTTAGCTCAGTAGTAGAGTGCCAGCTCAGCATGCATGAGGCCTAGGATTCATTCCCCAGCATTCCGAGAAAAGATTAAACAAGGAGGAGACTAAGTCAAGTGTGATTTCAAAAGGAGCATCTTGCAGAGGACTGTTATTATTCTGTGCTGCTAGGAGTTGAACCTATGACCTTGTGCATGCTGGAAAAGTACTCTGCCCCTGAGTAATACCCCCAGCCCTCTCAGAGAACTGGAAGAAGGATAAAACCAGGGACCAGCTGGGAGACTGCTGATGTGGTCAAGGTCAGAGAAACTAAAGGTAATGGAGGGAAAGGGACAAGATGAAAAAAGGTACAAATGATGGTGCTACCTGGGGCACACTGGGGCTTGATTTTCCCTGAGGATGATGACAGATTAGGGCTGAGATCTTCCCATGTGCCTGCCTGATACCTACTTCTTCTGGCTAATGCCACATGTGGGCCAGGTGGCTCTCTGTGCTTAGGGAAGTATAGTTGCCTCCAAAAAATGAGACAAAGCCAACTAGACATATGAAGACTGAACTCGTGAACATGGACACAACAGAGCCTGCCAGCCATCATTACT